TTGGGCATGGACATTGACTCACGATTCTTCTGTATCATTCTCAATGGGATGGTTACTCGGTTCCATGTGCTATCTGCTTTGGCTTTGAATGCTTGGACTTCAGTGTGATTTTGCATTCTGGATTTCTGTGCTTCGTCCATACTCATGTTCCTTGCAATTTGGTATCGGAGCTGGTTTGATCGCCACTTACCTTCGGCATGCTGGCGTTATACAGACTTGGTGCGTTGATGATGCTTCTTCGCAGTTGGTACTTGTGATGTCAGGCCATTGTTAGGCGCACGCCCTGGGTAGAGAGGGGTGCGTCGGAAGGCTAAATGGCGGCATTGTATGCCGTGAGATACAGCGGAATGTTTGATTGATGATGAGAGCATGCTGATGTGGCATTGGACTAAGGTGGCACTGCATTGCGTTGTGGGTGGTACCGAGGTCATGACCGGTCATCAAATGCAACATCAGCTCCATTGGTGAGAAAATTTGTGGTTGGGGGCAGCGATTTACAGGTATGTTGATCCCTTACCTTATCTACTCTCTCAATCTCTTCTTACTGTGAGGAAGTGAGTCCAACTTGAGAGTCCTCTCTTTTGGTGAGGTGTTGTGAGCACGCTACCTTGAGAGACGACAATCTTCCCGGAAGCATACTGGAAGGAGAAAGGGCGGTGCCTCTGAAGGGCCCTGGTCGAAGCAGTGGGTCAAGGTCACCATGCCAACCCAATGGGAGTAGGTCACGCATGCGATGGCTGTTGTCCATTAAGGCACTTTGCTGCGCCAAATAGAAGTTGCTCCGGGTGTGCCAGCCCATGACAAACACTTACTAGACCGTCTATAAACATTTCTGGTTAAGAGTTCATTGTGAATCTGGCTGTGATAGTCGTCCTGACTGTGACGTTAAATAATTCCTGAAGAGATGGGGGCGCTCTATAAATTCCTCCTGATCAGCCAGATCACATGGACAGGAAGGCTCGTCGCCGTACGAGGGTAAATAAGAGTGGTTGGGCTGGCTTGCTCGGTGACAACTTGGGCACAGGGGTGGGCCGAAACACACGAAGACACTGCCTGCTCAAAGATGCTATTCGGTATGTTGGATTGAGGGGAGGGTAGGTTCTAATTGGTGCTCAACTGTATACACAACCATACCCATCAATCAATCATACATCTGCTACATTGTCTTTTGTACCTTTGATTAGTTGGTGGACAGACTGCTAACACCTCACAGACAGATTAGTGTAGGACTGTTGTATGCTATTATAGCCAGTTCTAACTAATGCTGCTGTAAGTGAACAAGTCAAAGTGCATTTAGACTATGTAGACAATCTGTGTGAATGTTGTAGACATGCCACTTGATCGGTATAGTAGGGGACTTGCCGGACATACCCATTTCTAGAAAACTAGGTGCCGGTCAGACACATGCTGCGGTAGGATACCATTAGGGGATTCTAGTGCAGATAAAGTCTGCCTAACTCATGAGCGGATCAGACGTCGATGAGGAGAGAGTTGACGATGGTAAATTAAAACGTGCAAGATCAAGTAGGATCCCGTACGTGTTCAGGACCCTAGACGAGGGAGAAGAAAGACGGCTTCGTGCCAAACGCAGAGCCCGTGCTTTCGCAGCATCGAGAGAAGCGGCAAACCTTGCAGCTAGGGAACAGGCTGCAGCAGCAGCCAGGGCAGCAGCCATGACTTCTTCAGCAGCATCCTCCGCTGCAACTTCTGCTGCGTTCTCGTCTGTACCCCAGTTTGGAATGCCAACAGGGTCCACGGGCACTTCCAGTTCAACAGGTTCTAGACAATCTACAAGTCAAATGGCGGGCTCGCAGTACAACCCGTTGACTCCTCGCGAAAGGGAGATGAGAGAGCTCCAACAGGTCGAAAGGATCCGTGCACAGTTAGAGAAGGATCTGAAAGAGGCTACCAATAGAGAAAAAGAGATAAAGAATAGAACAGCCAGGCTTGAAACGTTAGAGTCTGACAAGGCTGACTTGGAGGGCTTAGATGACTTAGGAATGAATGAGCCCATGAAAGTGTTGAGGAACAACATGCTGTCGCTGCATGCGCATGTGGACAACAGGTTGGACTTCATGCAGAGCACTTTGGACCAAATCCTGGACATCCTAACAAAGCCAGGATTTAGGCCACCAGCACAATTGCCGTTGCCGTTATCGGCGATGTCAGGCCCATTTCCAGTTCAAGTTGGTTCACAACCAAGTGGTACGTCCGCAGCAGCCGCACAGACTGTTGCATCTTCTTCTTCGGGTCCAGCGGTGATAGCTACATCACCGCAACAACCTGTTCAGCAACCTGGACAAACGCAAGGTCAATGGTATCCTAAGACCCCAATGAAACCGCCTCTTGCCTTCTCAGGCGAGAGGAAGGACGAGGAACTCAACACATGGTTGAGAACGGTCCCGGTATGGGTGAAGGCAAAGAGGATCTTGCCTGAGGACGAAGTGGTAACTGCTTCATCCTACCTTGAGGGTAAGGCAGCCAAGTGGCTAGATGGAGTAGTTGTAAAGGCCGGGTACGGGCGACACATGGCCGATTGGGCTAAGTCTTTGACTCTAGACCAATTCATGGAAATGGTAGAAGCTCGATGGCATAATCCACAGGAGGCGCAAAGGGCCACTGATGCCATTAACAAACTGGACCAGCGCAAGTTCAGGTCAGTTAGAGAGCTTCCGACTACTGTCGAGAGCCTGACCCTCGTTCCAGGCATCAACTACAGCGATCAGTTCCTATTGACTAGGTTTGTCAAACGCCTCCCAGAGAACATGAGGAACTTACTAGCCAGTGAGGCACGCACCGAGTACCACTCGTTTGAGCCATTGTGTAGGAAAGCCTTACACTTAGAGGCCACGCTAGGCAATGCTCAACCCACCTCAGGGAATGACTCAAAGAAGAAGAAGCGGGCGAAGTTGATGATGGTTGAGTCTGATGGGACTCAAACTGAGATTGATGAGCTCTCTGACCTGATGGACTACTCAGAGTATGATGGCGAGGAGGTAGCTGAGGGTAGCACCCTC